GGCCACCTCATTGTCCGTATTCGGACACCCTTGAACCATACGTGCCACCTTCAATGCTTGCTTTGGTGAACACCAATCCATTTCATCAATGATCTGAAGCGCCACCTCCTTTTCCAAACAAGGGCACCCATTCAGATCTCGAACGCGAAGTTCCCCCAGAACAGGATGTGAGGCTGTGCACTTGCCACCACGCCACTGAACTCTGAGACCAACCAAAGCGCTCGCTTTGCCAATTGGCACTAGTGGATCTACCATTTCAGGAGTTACCAGGGTCCCACCTGGGGTAATACACATCTCCCGAGATCCAACAGCTAAAGACACCAACACCTTTTGCTGCGGAAGCTGTTCACCAGGACGAAGTGATCTGAGAGGATGTGATGCTCCCGAGTCCAACATGCCCATTCCCGAACACTCATTGGTGTCAGAAACCCTGGCCACATGTAGAACGCATACTCCTCGGCCTTCTCCCTGCTTCGGCAACAACGTGGCATCAGACGAACCGACTCCACAGTCCGCCCTTCCATTCCTCCATTGAGAATGGGACCAAGACGCACGCTGCCTTTCAGCATGCAAAACCATCTTTTCAGCAGTTTTGTAATCCATAACCAAACAGCCATGTTCGAACCACAAGAGCTGGTCCAGCGAAGATTTTGCACTCACGTGACACATCCCATTGATCACGGTGAGGTTCGCCCCAAACTCCAAAATCAACCAGAGAGGGATAATCAGAGGCCCATTGTCTTCCCTAATCAATGTCCCTTTCTCTGTAATCCTCATTGTCGCGCCACCAAGCGCGCTTTGCACCATAACAGTAGTGTCGGGTAATCCCTTCCCCCTTTTATTAAATACCTCCCCAATAATAAAAATACTTTCCGGAAAAACCTCCCGAAACCGAGCCCGCCTTTTAAACCCTATTCCGAATTAGGGGGGGGGTTCAGGCCTCCAAGAAATCCTTCAACACCAATAAAACCCTCAGAGGGTTTTGGGTTGGGGGGTCTAGGGTTAATTAAGGGTTTAGGGCTTAGGGTTCAGGGTTTAGGTTTAATTTAGAGGCCCGTCTTTTGGCAGCACGAAGCTGTCTGTCAGCTGCCTGTGAGCCTGGCTCTCCACACCCTGAAGTCTAATTTTGCGACATTTCGATAAAAATACCCCCTAATAATAAAAACACATTTCGAATTTTTAAAGGGGGGGGGGGGGGGGGGGGAGGGGGGACCCCCCGTTTAATATTAGGGGGAAGGGATTAAACGTTCCCATGGAAAAAGCGTCCGCGCAAGATGCGTAGCAGCTGTATCCACCAACGCCACTCTCCTTTCCTGCTGAAACAACCCAGAGCCACATAACATTCGAACACTGGGATCCCCGCTTGATGCTGACTGCGCTGATGACAGTTTCATAGATTTCAGCACCTCTAACGCTTCAGCAAGGACCTGATTGGGTGTTGATGGTGATGAGGGACTTGCAGAACCTTTCTCCAATCCCGCATTAGCCGTCTCATCTCCCCCTTCAGCCACCTCTGCCTTTTTGGCATTTCCCCATTTCGCACCTTTGCCGCCCTTTCCCCCTTTGGGAGAATTCCCTTTAGATCTATTCCTCTCAGGATTTGAGTCCACATTGGAACTTGCACCATCTTTGTATGGACACTGCGGCTGTAGATGGCCAACGGCCCCACATTCGAAACATCTTCCACGCTCCAGGGAGTCCTTGTCATGGCGAAATTTGCAGCGTGATCCGAACTTGCAGCCTGCTTCTGTCTTTCCATATATCCAACAGAATGGACGTTCACCATCACTGCTGTACCTTTTTCCTTTCCCTTTGCCTTTGTCACCCTCCTCTGTCTCGTCACCAGTTCCCTTTTGGGCCTTGTTTAACCTTGCCCTTTTCTTGGCGTCTGAGTCCTGCTTCACCTCTTGATCACCAGCGCTATGCAATAGCAGTTCAAACTCTGCCTGTAACATTTCAGCTAGTTGTGTCGCAGTTTCAGAGGTCGGCGAGTAGTCTACCCCCAATTTTTCCCGAAAGGATGCCACTCTAAAATGAACCGTAGGGTGTTTTGCCAGCAACGCGGATGATAGCATCCAATCCTTTGATAAGCAAGGTAGCGTCCGGCTCGGCCGCTCTCAACTCCCTTAATCGGGAACGCCATTGCGCCCATTGGCGCACTCCCTTAATGGCCTCTGAGATCGAGGTTGCCGAAGATGGTTGCACCAAGAAGTTCAACATTGTGCTGCGCTCATTTGCTCCACCTGGTTGGTAGACCGTTAGCAATTTGTAAAATATCATCACTGACCCCAACATTCGAGTGGAAACGATCTCGGTCTTCAATCTCTCCGGAATCGCCTGCAGCAGCAAAGACACCGCTCTCTGCTCCAACAAAACATGCACAGTTCGAACCACCTTGAGCCCTTCCAGCTCAGCCTTGATGCCCAACCTTTCCAGCGGAGAAACACTCAACCATTTGGCATACGCCTGATACGCCTTTGAATAGACGCATTGCCACCACACTCTTCCTGTATCTGTCAGCGAAGACAACATTGGCTCGATCATTGCGATCCAATCACTTAGTGCCGTCGGATTGCTTGGTGTGTAGTCTGCCAAAGTAGGAAGGCTCATCACATGCTTCCCAAGAGCCTCCGGACGTTCAGTTCCAGAACTATCACCAATGTTTGGCATACCGCGTGGCACCACTGCTCCAGGAGGTAAGCTGACCCTACCACCAGGCCCTTGAGGCAGTCCATGTCCTATACCGGGCGTAAAAGCTGTGAGCGGAACCTTTTCTAATTCCAACTTCCCAGCGATCATTTTCCACCGATACGGAACATCATCCACCATTGTATATCCACCCGATCCTGCTGAGTTCTCTTGCGTCGAAGTTTCCCGAGCTGAAACAAAACCGGGCTGATTCCCCATAGGTGCGGCAGAACCATCAACACCTGTCGGCAAGGAAGTAATCGGAGCATGTGTTAAACCAGGTGGTCCACTTGCATATCCACCACTTGCAGGACCTCCCATGGGGTAATTCAATGGAGGCAATCTGGAGGGTTTCTTCCCGTCAGCTACATGCATCATTGGCACTTCTTTTTCATCCTCCACTTGAGCATCCCCCTTCCTGGACCCAGGCAAGGATTGAAGATCACAACCCTTTGGCAGGTCGTAGCCCTCAATAGGCAGCCATGTCCCATCAGGCAACACAGTCCAAAAACCACCCATACCATCAGTGTAGAAAACTTGTCCTGGCGGGTACTGTTTCTCTGGAGTCATTCCCAAGGGATATGCAGCATTCGCGTCCACCACCCCAGTGCTCCGTGCTCGCGAAGCTGACCCAGATGCAGCAGAGGTATAGCTTTTCTCCTCCACTCGATGCAACCTGTTCCCCAGCTCCTTTGTTTGCACAAGCAACTCTTTAAGTGCACGCTTTACCACTGCCATATCTTCACCTTGTTCTTCACCACTCAGATCAGGAATAAGCTCTTCCTCTGCTTGCGTTCCACCAATAGTACCTCGTTCCATCTGGCCCATTAAGCCTGACGATGGTCTCTCAACTGGTGCAGGCTCCTGACCCATAAGATCATGTAGCGATGGTGGCCTCCTCGTAGTTCCACCACTCCTATCCCCTCCGCTTGCAGGAAGACTTGCCGGCCTTGATTGCCTCAGTCTTATTTCTTCTTGAGCCCGCTCGCTCCAGAAAGGATTCGCTGCTGGAACCGGAACCACTTCTTTTTCCACCTGAGACGTTGGTTGTATCATTGCAACTTCCCTACCATCTGTCAGCGCTTGTACCACTTGTTGTCGTTCTTCACCCCCATCACCACGATTTTCTTCGGCTTCATTGGCCGTGGGTGACAGTCCAGGCTCAGAGCGACGCCGCATCATGTCCATGGCGTTAAACAAACGAAAAATCTTTACCTATACCGCAGGAAGCCTAATTTGGGCTCATAACCTACGGGGGGCAACCGAAGGAGGACGGGGAACAAAACAGTCAACCCCAACAGAAACCCTTCATTCCCCTGGAACAACCAACCACAAACCAACCCAAAACCCAGAGAGACTCTTTTTCTCAGGGCGCATTGCCCAAGTTTCTTGAACCAAAATGATACCGGGTACATTGACCCTTTTTCCTTCAACACCAACTCTTTCCTGAATACAAATTGCAGCTCCGCATAGGGTTCAGGGTTTAGGGTTTAGGGTTTAGGGTTTAGGGTTTAGGGTTTAGGGTTTAGGGTTTAGGGTTTAGGGTTTAGGGTTTAGGGTTTAGGGTTTAGGGTGGGGTGTGAGGGCCTAGGGTTTTCTGGGGTGTGGGTTTGATGGACGCTTGATGTGTGGTTTTAGGGATTAAGAAGCACTGCTATGGAATCAGGTGCTCAGAGACCCTACGAAGGCAGTTGTTCTGTGATACGTACCTGCTTCTGAAACATAGCGCAGTCTCAAATCCAAACCCTAAAGCCATCTCAGCCCGAAACCCTGAACCCTTGCACGAAAAAGCAACTTGTTTGTGCCCTAGGGATGCAATGCCACTTCGAACTTCTCCTTCGACGCTTCGTTTCGGGCTTGGGATTCAGGGTTTCGGGCGTTTGCGCTGTAAGCGAAAGCTTCTCATGCTAATAAGGAAGGAGTTCAAGTGTTTAGAGTCTAGGGTTTAGGGTTTTGGGTTGCTCAGCTAGGGGTCAGCTAAACCTTAAACCCTAAACGCCTAAACCCTATACCCTAAGCCCTAGGCGAAGTTATGCATGGCTTAGTAGCCCAGTGGTACCCTTTACCTTTCTATTTTTGGCTATGGGTTCCCTTAAACTTCTTAAACAGTAACCAACCGCAAAAAGGGTATAGAATGTCCAACCCTAAACCCTAAACCCTAAACCCTAAACCCTAAACCCTAAACCCTAAACCCTACACCCTAAACCCTAAACCCTAAACCTAAACCCTAATATTATAGTATGGTTACTGGGCTACTGAGATGGCTGTGTGGGAGTGGTCTGCGCCATGCGCACGAAGCTAAGCATCGCCAGGTACGCCAAAGAGCGCAACTTGAAAGGCCACCGTGGTGTTTCGTTTCTAGGTAGGGTTTAGGGTTTAGGGTTTAGGGTTTAGGGTTTAGGGTTTAGGGTTTAGGGTTTAGGGTTTAGGGTTTAGGGTTTAGGGTTTAGGGTTTAGGGTTTAGGGTTTAGGGTTTAGGGTTTAGCATCTCAAGTCCAAGCATTCACTAGTCAAGGAATTACTCCAGGAAAATACCCACCCGCCCAAAGAATCCCACAACATTAAGAAAATATTTTACTTATAGAACGACCTTGCCCATGCCCAATAAAACGGCGACCTTGCCCAGTAAAACAGCGACCTTGCCCAGTAAAACGCGACCTTGCCCAATAAAACGGCGACCTTGCCCAGTAAAACGGCGACCTTGTCCAGTAAAACAGCGACTTTGCCCAGTAAAACGGCGACCTTGCCCAGTAAAACGGCGACCTTGCCCAGTAAAACGGCGACCTTGCCCAGTAAAACAGCGACCTTGCCCAGTAAAACGGCGACCTTGCCCAGTAAAACGGCGACCTTGCCCAGTAAAACGGCGACCTTGCCCAGTAAAACGGCGACCTTGCCCAGTAAAACAGCGACCTTGCCCAGTAAAACGGCGACCTTGCCCAGTAAAACGGCGACCTTGCCCAGTAAAACGGCGACCTTCGGACACCCCCCCTGCCCAGTAAAAATGCTACCTTCGGCCCCGAAGGTCGCCGTTTTACTGGGCAAGGTCGCCGTTTTACTGGGCAAGGTCGCCGTTTTACTGGGCAAGGTCGATTTTGGTCAAAAAATCGACCTTGCCCAGTAAAACGGCGACTTGCCCAGTAAAACAGCGACCTTCGGGGTCCAAGGTCGCATTTTTACTGGGCAGGGGCGGAAGGTCGCCGTTTTACTGGGCAAGGTCGCCGTTTTACTGGGCAAGGTCGCCGTTTTACTGGGCAAGGTCGATTTTTTTGACCGAACTGACCTTGCCCAGTAAAACGGCGACCTTGCCCAGTAAAACGGCGACCTTGCCCAGTAACTCCTTAACATTTAAATTATATCTGAAAGAGAGGTTTAGGGTTTAGGGTTTAGGGTTTAGGATTTAGGGTTTAGGGTTTAGGGCTGGACATTTCATATTTCCCTTTATTGAGCTTAAGAGGATGATATTCAGGAATGTTTTTTCAGAGGGTTTTCAGGGCCCGCCTAGGTTCTGTCGAGCAGTGGGGTCATTGCTAAACCCTAAACCCGAAACCCTAAACCCTAAACCCTAAACCCTAAACCCTAAACCCTAGAAGGAACCCTTACTGATATTCCCCCAAATAACCTCTTTATGTGGATACCACAGGGCCCTGCTCCCCAGTATCGTCGAGCGCGAAAGCGCGTATCAACATACCGGCGTTCACGGGCTCAGCAATATCTGACTGTGGGCTCCTTTCCTAAACCCTGTACATCCAAAAAAAAACTTTCCTGAAAGCGGCATCCCGCCCCTAGACCCGGAATTGAGGGGCCCTCTTTGTCAGGTTTTGGCTTTATGGGACCATGGGCTCTGGCCAGGGCGTGGAGTTCAAAATCTCCATTTTGTGCATTATTGGTGTAGGAGTTAGGGCTATAATGGATCATGTTGGGAACTATCTTGGCTCCTGTGTACCTTGTGCAGGCTGCGGTCAAGGGAGGCCCTGAAAAGAGGCATGAAGAGTAAGATACATATATGCGCTGATTCCTCTGATGGTCATAAATCTCTCACAGTAAAGTCCAGAAAGTTGGAAGCTTTAAGGATGATTAGAGCCGTTTTCTTATGCCTTGTGGGGTGTGGGGATAAGGGTGTTCCAACTTTTTGGAGTTGACTCTGAGCATACCTAACACCCTCCGACCTAAACCCTAGTATTTGTAAGCCCTAAACCCTAAACCCTAAACCCTAAACCTCCTCTTGCTGCTGGTCTGACAGATGCCTGGCATGGACATGGCAAGCCGCCGTCGGACTATGGCGTCATGTGCCTTGTTCAGCACTTTCACCCAACCACATAGGGTTTAGGGTTTAGGGTTTGGGGTTTAGGGTTTAGGGTTTATGGTTTGGGTTTAGGGTTTAGGCTAAACCCTAAACCCCTAAACCCTGGAAATTCTCATTCCCAAACCCCAAAAAAACTCCAAGACCCTTACTTAGAGGTTCAGGGGGCTTTCCCAGGGTATCCGAAGATGTGGGGGACCCCTGGTGTAGCCCCAAGTAGTAGGATTCCCTGAGAAAAATTGACTTGTCTGGTTGCATGCAAAGCTCTGAGCCTGCAAACTCTAGATCGGGGTTTAGGGTTTAGGGTTTAGGGTTTAGGGTTTAGGGTTTAGGGTTTAGGGTTTAGGGTTTAGGGTTTCACATCTGGGTTCGGAGGCTTTGGCTCAATGTGTTGGGGCCTGTTCTTGCGACTTCAGCAGCTGTAATTTTCTTCAGGAAGCTGCTGCTGCAACGAAGCTCTCACCCTAAACCCTAAACCCTAAAACCCTAAACCCCAAACCCTTTGAATCACAAGCTAGGCCCAGCACAAGCACCACGAGCACTGAGGTATATACCGCACAAGGCCAGATGATGGGTTTTGGGGAGTGCGTTTGGGGGGTCTCAAGGGCTTGTAGACGTTTAGGGTGTAGGGTTTAGGGTTTGGGGTTTGGGGTTTAGGGTTTAGGGTTTAAGGGTTTAAGGGTTCAAGAGTTTAAGGGTTTAAGGGTTTAGGCTGGTCGGGCTTGTCGAGCTTACATGGGGTTCGCAAGGTTCCGCGCACATCATGCCGCGTCAGTTACTTTCGGCAACCCAGTGATCTTGGGTTTAGGGCTTAGGATTTGGGGTTCAGGGTTCCACTTGTTGAATGTACCAGCAGAGCGGTCCTTCTTCGGACCTGTTCATTCAACACGACGTGAAGCAAGATGCCCCTTCCACTTTTCTCGATTTTTCGACGCCATCTTGGTAGCCCCGTGGTACCTTTTTGCCCCCTTTCTCTTTCGCCCGAGGTTCCCTTCTAAAACTAACAAACCCCCAAAAGGGGGTACCCTTGCCATAAGAAGGTTACCTGGCTACCAAGCCATTTTTGCTTTGGTTGTATCTGCGAAAAACTAAACCCTGAAGACTGAACCCACATTAGACCCAAAGCCCTAAACCTGTGGGTGGCTTTCTGGCTTAGGTGGAGAGTTGTGGGAGAGTTGTGCGGAGGTACTCATCGATAGCGACGGCAAGGTCGTCAAGAACTATAAAGTGGAGCTGTGCTGCGGACGCATAGTCCGGGGATGCAGGGCGTTGGCATAGGGGTTAGGGTTTATGGTTAATGGGTTTAGGTTTAAGGGCGATTCGAGCAGAGTTAGGGAATAGGGGATACACAGATTCCTCGGATTTTCGTTCCCAGTCACGACATGGAACAACTGGGTTTAGACCGCGGCCCTTCGATCTCATGATAGAAGGGACCCTGAATCTTATTCCCCTATACAACCTCTATACATATATATATATATGTATATATATTTGCCTTATATAGTCCCTGCATACCTCAGTAGCCCCTAAGGGTCCCTCTCTTGAGTTTCCGATGATTGGCAAAGCGTCTACAGTAATTACATTCAACGGGGATTGGCTTCTTGCAGCCTTAGACCCTAAGTGGAAATCACTTCCCACACTAGTAGATTTGGTAGGGCCCTTGATATGATGCTATGTAATTGAGCTCCTTATGAAAAAAACTCGGGCTCTCCTTTTGACCATGACCTGCCCTGAAATACAATTTTTGACTGAACAGGTCCCGTTATTCCGCCCAAAAGCTTAAGTTGAGTTCCCGAGAAAGAACCCAGACGCAGAACCACAAGGTTTGGAGCTTGCGGGTTTTGGAGTTGGGAGTTCGGGTGTGGCGGGCGTGGGAATGGCATTTTTTTGATTTGGGGCCCAGGGCCGGGCAGGGGACAATAGGGTGTTGTACTATATAACCTAACTCTCCAACTTGTCCAGGGGTTTGGGGTCTAGGGTTTAGGGTTTAGGGTTTAGGGTTAGGGTTTCGGGTTTGGTAACCCTAAACCCTAACCCTAAACCCTAAACCCTAAAGCCTCAGGCTTTCTTTCATTCGCCCAGGCCCAGCGACCTCGAGCTGGTACTCAACGCGAGCAAGAAGGAGTCTTAAGATGCAAAGGCCCTGGATCCTTGAAAAGCTCCACGAGTTAGGGTGAGGATTTTGGGGTTTAGGGTTTGGGGTTTAGGGTTTAGGGTTTGGGGTTTGGGGTTTAGGGTTTAGGGTGAGGGCTTAGGGCTTATCTTTTGGTTTAGTTTGGAGTTGAGGGTTGAAGGGTATGGAAGGTTTTCAGGGCGTTATGTGCCCTCACTGTGGAGGCTTCTCCAATGAAGTCCCCATAGAACCCCTAAAGCTCGTAGAACCCTCTACAACCCTTAACTCCCTTGAGACCCTCTGAAACCCTTATATAAGTCCCGCAAAACCCTTAGAAGCCTTAGAACCCTTAATGCCCTTGGAGCCCTTAAGTCCCGAATAAAACCCTTGGAACCCTCAAAACGCCGAATGTTTGGGGTCTCCTGTGAGTGACTGACAGTGCCACACTTCTTCTGTGTGACCCCTTTGGTTCAGGTTTAGGGCCCGGCTTAGGGCTTATAGGGTTTACGGCTTGGGGTTTCTAGGGTTCAAGGTTTAGGGCGAAAAGTGAGCCCGCTAACTCAAGTTGTCACCCCCTCCTCCCCCCCCCCCCCCCCCCCCCCCCCGGACCTGGGAGTGATGGATGTTCAACTTTAAGCTTACTGGCTCAAAACCCAGCCTTTCAACTTCCGGGCTTCTTATAAGGTAGTTTATTATGAAAGTTCCTTAAAAGATGGTGCATCTCTTTCCTCATCTTGGATGCTAGATCACCTATAAGGCTCCGATTTCCCAACTCCATAGTGTTGTCTCTGTAGTTAAGGTCATCGCTCTCACTCCCCTGAAGAGATTCTGTGGCAGCATGCAAACCCTAAACCCTGCACTTCGAAAGCCTCCAAAGCAATGGGGACCTTCGTTGGAAATCGATGAGTTACACGGACCCTAGGTTGGGCGATTCGGGTTCTCAGGGTTTGAGGGTCATTTGCAACTGAGGCCCCATATCGTCCGTCAAACAAACGTTGGTACAGGGCAAGGTCCCCTCGCTGGAGGTTTGAGGCTTCTAAACCTAAATACCCCAAGCCTTTGACCCTAAATACCCTTACGCCCTAAATACCCCAAACCCTAAACTCTCAACCCCAAAAGCCCCCCAAAACTTAGGTTTCGGGGAGGTGTGGATGCGCTGTGCATGTCTGAGTCGATTCGTGGCGCGATCTTCGGTGCCTTGAGCTTTAGGGGCTTTTATGGCTTTGCTTCCCTTAGGGGTTTTGGGGTTTAGGGCTTAGGGCTCAGGGCTTGGGGCTTAGGGGTTTCCGGGTGTCGAGGGGTTTAGGGTTTGGTATGTCGGGGCGAGGGTCCAGGGTTTCATTTTTCATGCTTTAATGTTATCTGTTTCCTGGTGGGGGGGGGGGGGGTTTAAGAGCTTAAAGCCTAGACCCTTTATACCCAAGTTTGGGGCTAGCCCTAGGGGCTTTTGGTGGGGCTTAAGGCTAAAGATAGGGCTTCGTTTTTTACAGACTTTGGGGGGTGTGGGGTTTGCATGTGGTTTGGGTTTAGGACACGTGGCAGGCAGAGTGGTTAACAAAAACCCTAGAAGCCCTTAACCCCGAAATTGACTCTGGGGAGCTACCGGACATTCCGCCGCACACCGATGGCCAGGGTCAGCATAAGGGACCATAAGGAGCGACCTTTCCAAGGGAGCCCAAGCATTATGGGTCTCGGGCTTAGAGTTTAAGCCTTTTTGCGGGCTGCTTAGGTACACAGGAACTGTAAGTAAGGTCTACCGTGTCTACAGGGTACACGTCCTTCCAGCCCAAGCCCCAAGCGCTTAACCCTAAGCCCTCAACCCTCAACCCTCAACCCTCAACCCTCAACCCTCAACCCTCAACCCTCAACCCTCACCCCCCTCCCCCCCTTAAGCCCCCTTTGTCTCCCTATCAGTTACAGTAGCTCGCTCCCACACATGCCGGGGTGTACACTGCGTTCCGGCACTCAACTGTGAGGTTGGGGAGTAAAACCTAAACCCTAAACCCTAAACCCTAAACCCTAAACCCTAAACCCTAAACCCTAAACCCTAAACCCTCTACTCTTCAAGCTGGGCTTCATTTACTGTAGCCCCCGAAGATGCTATTGGTACCTTTTGTAAGGAACGCCAAAGCAAGTGCTTTAACTTCTCTTCAGCCTTGGTGAGCCTTAGGGTATAGGATTTGGGCTTCAGGGCTTTGGGTTTTTTTGAGTCTTCTGCTTCGGCTATGGCACTGAATCAGGCTCATCGGCATTCGGGAGTTCTTGGGGGGGTTTTTGGTCCAGAAGTTTTAACCTCAGTTGCTGACAGCTTGCCATCCCAATCGCTTCAAAACACCTTCTGCCCAAGTCCTCAGCCTGTGAGAACTTCTGGACATGCTGGCAAGTGTGGAGCAAATATTCTGCAATCTATGGCGCCTGCCTGCACAGATCCTTCGGAAAGAAGCATGTCCGGACTTAAAATGATGCGCGTTCGGGTTCTCCAACATTCCCTAACACACCCTATACCCTGACCCGAAACCGCGCGCGAATGACTGCAGGCATCTTACGTAAGGTCTGTAGGGCGGCTGCGCCTCTGTTTGCCCTGCGCTGTTTAGGGTCTAGGGTTTACAGGATCTACAGCGCTTTGGGATGTATGCTCGGAGCCCTAAACCCTAAACCCTAAACCCTAAACCCTAATATACTTCCAGTAGCTTTCGAAAGGGGGCACCAGCAGGGGCTGTATTCCCTGCTGCCCTAAACTAGCACAAGGAACATACCAAGTTCTCGCTTGAACACCGGCTGAATTTGACAACTTAAACACGAGTTGAACCTCAAACTGATTGGGTGTTACCTGAGTTGTTCTTGCTTTTTTTGAAGGTGAACAGCCGCATGCCTTAAGACATAAGTCAACTTGTCAACAGCAGATCCTAGATTCCTGTGTTGGGGCGGCCTCCATCACAGGATCCCAAAGGAATCCCCGAAGGAAACCCCGAAGTAAACCCCCTATGTATGTCACCTCTGTTAGTGGTTTCTCCCAGGAGGTTTTTCAGCAATGTACAGAGATGCTCAACCTGCATACCATGAAGTTGACAGAGTCATTCCCGAAACCCGTAAAAGCCCAAAAAGGTCCCTTGCGTTTTTTGGGTCCCGAACTGAACACAGCACCCTCATACTAAGAGACCCCCCCCCCCTTTGCCCTTTCCCTGCGGGTCCTCTGACTCAAGCCCCAACCCCAAACTCTTAACAAGGCCATAGACAGGTCCGTGGCTTCTTTGGGTCTCTTTTCGGATCGCTGACTGTGATATACTAGGGTTGAGGTTTAAGCCGTTGTACAGTTTCCTTGCCTAGGAATTGGGCAGCTGTCTAACTTGTGATGCTTTTCTGAGTTCTCGTGTGTAGTACAGGCCTTGTATTGGTGTCCAGAAAAGGGTCACCCTTACGATCAACCACTCCAGTTAGGTAGCTCAAGCCTAGTACAACATCTCAGAGGTCCCATGCTCAGGTTTGGGGGCTTAGGCGTTAGGGGCATTTGGGGACATAGGTTTTAGGGCTGGTTCCTAGGGTGCCCTGAGCCCTAAACCCGAAACCCTAAACCCTAAACCCTAAAAGGGATTTGCGGTCTAGGGCTTTTGCCAGCAGGTCTTTCTCTACCGCGGCGGCTTCTGCCGATTCTGCGCCTGGCGACCCAGACTTAACCCCAAATGCAGGAGCCGTCGTAGTCACCAAATACCCATAAACCCTAAACCCCAAGCCCCCAAACCCTTTTACTGAGAAATCGGCGTTCGCTTTTGGGGGGTCCTGTTTACTGTGGATTCGTCTAGTTTCAGCGTTCTAACGGAGAAGCACATGTCTGCATACTCTCCCCTTATATGAATCCTCACATTCGGGAATCAAAACTACTGAAAATGCTCTCTCCAGTCGTTAATTAGTCCCTGACCCCGAACTAGGTGCCTTGTAGAATACTAAATCGGGAGACCACCCAGTTAAGACTCTTCTTCCAAGGGCTTGACAACGAGGACTGGGTTCTGGGTTTGGGTTTGTGGCCGCATTGCTTCAGCCAGGGTGCCTGCGGGCCCCTGGGAAGCCAAATTGTAAGCTGAATGGCAAGAGACTTAAACCCTAAACCCGAAACCCTAAAACTAAAACCCCACAAACCCCACAAAGCTCTATAACCCTATTTTCCTATAACTCTATAACGCTATGACCATATAATCCTATAGCCCTATAACCCCATATAATCCTATAGCCCTATAACCCTAAACCCTAAACCCTATAACCCTAAACCCTAACCCCTAAACCCTAAACCTAAACCCCCCTCAGCCCTATCAGGTTGAGCAGTACAGCTCGGACATTGCCGAGATTGACAACATCTTCGTGCTTCTCGGGACGCAGATGCACCGGGATTGCGTGGGTGGGGTTTAGAGTTTAGGGTTTAGGGTTTAGGGTTTAGGGTTTACAGTAGGGTTTAGGGTTTGGGGTTCGGGGTTTGGGGTTCAGGGTTTAGGGTATAGGGTTCAGAGTGTATGGATATCAGGCTTAGTATGATAATTTTGGGAATCCCACATTATAGGAGTTTGCGTTTAGGGTTGGTGCCAAGAGGTTTCGTCATATAGTCCACGGCTATTGGAACACACAGTAGAAACACAAGCCCCTTTTCCACGAAGCTGAACCCAAAACCCTAAACCCTCGACCCCAAACCTGAAACCCTAAACCCCTAAACCCTACATGTTAGACTCCCTTCAAAGGCTTCTCCACCCCACAGCTACAGTCTGGTTCTCTTCCGCTCTCGCCCTGTTCACTGGCGCACCGCTGTAGGCCCTGACTTGTGTTCGCACACTTGGGGGGCTCCTTCCGATCTACCTTCCCGCCTCTCTCTGTCTCGCTCTCTTTTCTCTTTGGCTCTCTCCCTCATGCTGAGCCCTAAACCTTGAACCCTGAACCCGAAATGGCAAGCTCCCTCCATCTCCGCCACCTTATTCCCCGGGCTTTGAATCTTCAAGGCTTTGGTCCGTGGGTTTTAGGGTTTAGAATTTAGGGGC